TTTTGAATTTTTTTAGAAGAATCTTCGAATATAGGAAAAAAGCTAAAAATATAGTCTATTATAGGATAAATTTTTAAAATATAGGAAATACAGGATATATAGGACTGCTGCGAAGCCAGTCTATAAGTTTTTGTCGACAAATCCAAAGAACTACACGCTTCAATATGTATTGCATAAGTTGAGTCTTCTCAGAAAAAACGAATGAATCACTAGAATTGTTATTTTTACCTATTAGTCGGCGCAGCTCATTCGCATATCCATAATGTTGCCGAAAACGCAGTATAATGTGAAAAGAAAAATTAATAGAATTGTTGAAGTCAATCATATTGAATAAATGTGTTAATTCACTATCGATATTTCCGATTTGTTGACGTAGTTTATTACTAGACATTCTTATTTCTTCATTACTTTGTCGATTGTTGTTTCTCGTGGGTGCTATTTGAGCCATGGCATCAAGATCAAATCTGATGTCATCAAGAGTTTTCCGAAATCCTTTCTCAATTATTTGATATATTTAATAAGAGCCATATTGTTCTCAGTAAGACCATGTGAAAATTGTTCTACAAGTTTATTTTCTTATTGGCATATTACTGCGTCATCTTTCTGTGACGTTTCTATAACCTTAGTATTCATTCTTTTAAGGTTATGTGTTGAAGTTGGACAATGCCCTTCATACTTTCACCCAATTGGTGATCTGCAAAACGTTTCAAACAAAAATTCAAATCGGCGTCCATCGAACATAAAAATAATGGTTTCTCTAAAATATAATCAAATTTTAAAAGAATGACAAGTATACGAGACGATGATTTATTTTTTTATTTACTTCATATGATAAGCTAAATACCAAGGGGGAAACGGCGGATTCCCGGGATTCCGAATCCCATGAGAATCCCATAGGAATCTTGGGGATCTTGGGAATCTTGGGAATTCAAGGGGAATCCCACGGAAATCATGTGCCTAAGAGTCATCAATAGATGATTTTTTTTCCATGTGTTCAGTTGATTTTTCTTTTCTTACAATCATTCGTTATACTTCGGGAAGACAATGGTCATCATATGATTAACGAACTCCCAACGATCGACGGATAACGGGAAAAAAGTTGTGTCTACCAAATTTATATGTTTCTAAGGAATGTGAATTAATTTTGTCTTCTCGTCTTACGATCCAATTATTTCATCTTTTCTATTTTTCTCATCTCTCTTTTTTTGTCTTCAGATAAACATATCAATATAAATATACACGTGACTGTACAATCTCTCTCACATTCGTTATTTACTATCAAACTAAATTTATACAAAATTAAATTTCGTTTTTTTAAAAAGAAAACAAATTATTATAACATTTTTTTCTACGAAGGTAATACATAATGTTTAAATCATTTCCGCCTCTTGATTTACCTAATGATGTTTTGTCATTCAAAGGAGAAAAGTTTTTTGAGTTGATTCAACAGAAATATGGTCAAGTTTTTAAAGAATTAATGGAAATACTTTCAATCGATACAGTACATAAACTGCTTTGGTTGAAGATGATATTCTACCTGTTTTCCAGAAAAATATCGAGAATTAGAGAAAGTAACACAACGAGCATGTCTTCATCTTGATGATGGGACAATTATGCTCAAGCCTGGTTTGCGTATGGATTTCGATCGTTTTATCCGATCTCTTCATGATATAAACGATAAACAAAAACAACAGAAGGAAATAGTGAAACAAACTGAAGATAATATTTCTTTATTTAAGAACTTAGTAAAGTCATATCAATTCAATGAAAGTGATGATACACAAGATAATTATCTTTTCTGTTCGCTTTTATGGAAAATATTTCCAATAATATTTCAAAAAATAAGAATAATTATCAATACAGTGATATTGTGCAACAATTTCCACAATCATTGTATATCTTAGGAGGGCGAAACTCGCGCTAGTTTGTAAGGTTGAACTTACCCGGCGCACTTCCATCATTATCTACCTTAAACCTTAGTCTTGAGAAAGCTGATGCGTGCATTGGTGAAGCCGAGTTTCTATATGATGCACTTAATCACCATCATAATTCTTTAAACTATTAGATCGCCGTTTGTTCAGAAGACTCGACAGCAGTCGTAAAGAAAGTTATAGTGCTGCTACTAACACATTTGGTGGATTCGCGACTCCACTCGAAAATGGTATTCCTAAATCTGGCTACTTTAAGACATATTCTTTTGATGTGTTAAAAGAATGGTTCGACAATAAAGATAAGTCAAACTATTTAAATGTTCATATGATGCAACCGCTCATTGAATCTAAACCATATACATCACCATTCCTCCTTGCCGCATATGGGATCAGTAACACATTTAAAGCCATTGATATTCTTAATCGATGGATATGGATTTTTGAAACGTCTCAAGAGTCAAACGTTCGTATTGTTGCTTTTTCTACAGATTGCGATCCGAGATACTTGTTAGCAATGCGTTTGACTACAGGCTTTTTTGCAAAACTTACTAATACTCCGTTATATAATCATAACAATATATTAAAGATCCATTTACCAAAGGACTGGTCAGGATGGTTTTTTATGCCTCCTCATCAAGTTTTATTTTGTTTTCAAGATTCCATACATTTATGTGCTAAACTCCGTAATCGTATGCTTTCGGAAACAGCATCACTGTTGATTGGGAATGGAGAAGGTTCCATTCAAGTACTGAATGAACTTATAGAAACTAAATCAAAGTTTGTCCATGGACTTGTAAAAACTGATATAAAGCCGAGCGATAGGCAAAACTATAAGTCTTGCCACAAAATCCTACGTGAGGAAGTAATAAATGCTCTTGAAGACATTGATGGTTCTTTAGCCACTCGAATTTATTTACGCCTCTTGCGTAGTGTAGCTCTCGCCTATATTGACCATAATACATCGATAATCGATCGTATCTATCATAGTTGGTTAGCAGTCTTTATATGCCGTATATGGCAAACCTGGCTGCATTTAGTACATAAAGAAGACATTTCAGCAGCTCATTCTCAAATGTCAAAAGAGAACTTATTTATTACTGTTCCTGCTCATTTTTCTATCGAAATGAATGCTCATAGCCTTGTTGCAATTTGTTTACTTGTGCATCAGCAAGATTTGCCAATTTCTACTCTTAGGTTTCCAAATTATCACTCACAGTCTTGCGAAGCAACTTTTCGTAACTCTAGATCAATGTCAGGTGTTTTTTCTACAGTAGTTAATTTTACTACTGAACAGTTTCTTAAACGAGCTGGTAAACTATCAGTACTTGCTGATATACAAAATCAGAGTGAATCTGGTCAGTTAAGCTGTTCTTTACAGTTTCCTAAGCATCACAAGCGATGTCGACAAAGTATTGCTTCTAATAACGTAGTTCTGAGTGCGTCTATCCATCTCTTCTCACTTGTGATAATATTAAAAAGACAATTTGTCAAGCATATGATGATGCTTATGATCTACTATCTAAGCTTGATGTTCATATCGCTTTGAAGAAAGCGAAAAAATAACTGAAATGCTTCAAGTGAGTTCATTTGTGCGAGCTCAGTTTGATAGAAAATTTAAAAAGGTCTCGTACGATGATGATGAATCGTATTTATCTGATAATGATGAATCAAGTTATAAATTCAGATCGGAGATCAATACTGCAGCGAACTTAGATTATGATAGTTCATGTGATGATGAAACTGAAAATGTGTCTTCAATTTCAGCTAGTGGTAAATCTCAGTTTCATGGAATGAGAGTGTGCGATACTATTCCTTCCTCACTTGCGAAGTCCTACTTTCGTGTTGAACTTGATGAGAAAAAAAATATATTCACAAACAGCCAGCCGGCTTTTAACCGATACCAATAATCGTTTGTCAGCTGATCGACTTAGGAGAGTTCAACAAAGCAGTTCTTAGATTAATAAGAAGCTTGTAAGAAATACTTAGGAATATTTTGACATGATCAACTTCTGCTATTTTTTATTGCTTCTTGTTTCTTTTATTGATATTTCATAGTTCGCTTTCCCTCTATGTGATAAAAAACCAAAATTCTCTAATGTCTCAGTTGACTTGATACCAATCTTATTACAAGATGTATCTAAACTTCACATATCAATAGATGTTTTTTTTTAATTCACTCTGATATTTTTCAGGGCTTATAATGGTCTGTCAAATTCATGGTAATGAATATCAAAGAGAAATAGAGCAGTGAACATGGGTTTACCGAAAGAGATTCACATGAAAAGAAAATAGTAGGCACGGGTGTCATGGCCGATGGCCATGATATAAATTTAGTTACGATATATCTTCTATATTCTGCTTAGTGTTTCGTTATGGTATCATCCATTGCATTCTTTGATGTTTTTTTTTCTCTCTCTTGCCCCTCTCCATGTACTAAATTCACCACTATGCAATAAAAGAAACATCATCGGTATGTGATGAGATATGAGAGGGGGAGAAAGTATGAAAGGAGAATATATAAAGGGATATACGTTTTGATATGAGTGTGTTTTTTTCTTTTCCTGTCTTGTTTGATTCTTATCAATTAAAAATTGAAATAAAGTTTTGAAAATGGAGTTAAAAGGAATAAACGGAAGTGTAATAACAACGGGTTTTCCGGAAAATGCCTAAAAATCAATGTATGGATGCGGGTTTACCGAGTATCATTCGAAGCAAAAATAGGTATAAATAGGCACGGGTATTCTGTATAAAACTTGCCTAAACTGTTTCAATCCATTTTGAATTTTTAAATTAAAACCACGCATAGCAAACAAATAAGGATGCGGGTTTTCCGAATGAACATCCACCTCTTCGCAGCAGGACAGGTTTTACGTGCCGAAGAGTAGAAACACTGTCTGAAAGCAGTGACCAGCAATCCTGGATCTTTTGGGCAATCGCAAAATTAAGAAATAAAAGAGTTATGTTAATAAAAACAGTAAATTAAAGAAAGTTGGATCTTCTGATTTATTGTTTTATAGTTTTCTGTTATTTTCAGATACAATGAGGAACCCGCAAGTATGGTGAGAATTCCGGAATTTTTTTGGAGAATCCTTTGGGAATCTCGTGGGAATCCAGGGAATCCGGAATCCGTCGTTTCCCCCTTGCTAAATACAATTACTGTTATCTATTGAGTGAGTGTCTCGACAACGGACGATGTTTTCTCTTATATTTATTTGCACACTAGTATCTACAGTAAAATTAGCAGCCCAGCCAGTGGCGGAACCAGGGGGCTAGGGGGGCTCACCCCCCTAGACAGTGTTGAGCCCTCCCCCCTAGGGAGATTTTAGAAAATGCATTTTTTTATATAAATATGTAGTAATGTTTGCAATTTCATGTTTTAGCCAGCGTTGCCCGCTATGAAACTCAAAAACTCCCGTTAGAATCAAGAAAAAATTTCAAAATCTCCCAAAAAATCCAGAAAATCTTCAAAAAAATTTCAAAATTGTCGAAAAATCTAAAAAACCTTTCAAAATCCGAAAAAAATCCGAAAAAACACCAGAAAAATTGTCAAAATTCCCAAAAAAATCCAAAATGACTTTNAAACCCCAAATTTTTTTTTTGGCCCCCCCCCCCCCCCCCCCCCTAGCCCAAAATCCTGGCTCTACCACTGAGCCCAACCCTCATCGGATTGTCATATTGCTGTTTTTTTCTATTTAGTAAGCAGTATAAAAATAAAATGCTTTAAAGTATTGTAATAACTTGGCTTCATCAAAATATTGTATATTAATATTTACAAAACAAAGTCGGCATCTTAATTTATCGAAATTTCTTCGATTTGAAGAGAAGTCAGCGTTGCTGATGTCAAAAAAACGAACAAACTACAATCGAAATATTTGAATGTGTCTAATGTAATAAAAATTTATCAGTTCTATCATAAAACTATAAATTACGAATGTTTGAGATCTTCATCGATAGCATTTTAAAAAAATTTACATCGTGTTTTATTTATTGACTAAAGTAAAATATAACATGGTACTTATTTAAAATCAAAACAAAATCAATTGCAAGAGTAAATGAATAGTGCTCATTATATATTAAATTAAATTATATTTTGTTTGGTTTTCCTAGGAAAAAATAATTACATGCGCTCCATTTCGTAATTAGAAATCTCTCACTGTTTGTTGTTGCTAATAAAAAATTCTATATTATGCGTCTTGATTTTTTAGATTGTTAACTGTCGATCGTACCATTATAATATCTATATCACATAAATACATAATACGATCTTATAACATTCTTAATGGTTAAATCGCCTATTGAATTCATAAGCTATTTTTTAGCATGAGTTTTCATTCATGTTTATTATAATCGCTCGAAATCGAATATACTTAGATTTATCGTTGTAAAATAAGTAATACCTTGAATCTATGTGTGACAGATTTCCGGTACTTGACAAAAATTTATAACTTCTTTTTGAACAAACATATACAGTGTATCAGTTTTACTAGGAAAAGTCCTGAAAGAAAAACAATGACTCTTCCCCTAGCATCTATAGAAAGTTTCCAAAAATCTTCTATGAACTTTTTAAATTGTTTTCACGTGAAAATTTTATACGAGGTCTCAGTCACAATAACGTTACTTTTTAAAACCTTCCTGTTGTTTCATCAATCCTTGCCGCATAAAAATGTGAAATAAAATAACTTAGCAAGGAAAATATTTTGATAATGGCCTCATATTTACTTTTTGCTATTCAATTACTTCACAATTATTGATCACACAAAAACTTTGCGCGTTCGTTTATACACTTTTAAGTTGAAGTAGCATGTCGAATACTTAATTCATCAGACATAACTTCAACTATGTCTATGTATTTTGTACTATAAACCTATGTATCACCTCTCTCAAATATTCTACAGTAATTAGAGAAATTTTTCTTTTTAATATATTCAATTCTTTTTAATATGCATCCACTTGAATTGAATACTGTTTCCATGTACTTTTAAATATAAACATTTTAATTAAAGATTTTACAGTCAGCAACTAAAATCATGTAAAAAGTTGTTTAATTAGCAGCACTCTTCTGAATTTCTCTTGTGATTAGAAAAAAATTGTAAAATGAGTGGACAATAAGATATTAACGAACGCTACAGAAGTCAGAGAACATTGCTGCGATATAAATTATTCTGTTTATTTTGATTCTTGTTGTTTAATTACACTCGCTGCATACATTTATTTGGCTGCTTTTATTTTTCTCTTAATTAGTCAGTCTCCGTTTTCGAAACTTGTATAGTTCGAAATAAACACTTGCCACTATGTTACCTTAAGTGATTTATACACGATTCAATTTTACCTTTTCAATTTTATCTCTCCCATATGACATTTTTATTTTCTTTGAAATACTGAATTACCTAACTCTTTGTTAACTTCTCAAGAATGAGTTCATTTTATTCAATTCTTGTTTTGTTCGTATCCTTACGCTTACAAACTGCGTCTAACGTCTATAATTACTTGGCATGATTTATGCTGTTTCGTAGACTTCTCATGACTTAATCAAATCGAGATTAAAACTAGCTGAGTTACCACTAACAAGTTTTTGAATTTTTCTTAACACAGCTTTGTCTAGCTGAAGAAAATATTAAAGTTAACAGTTACTTTAAAGTTATATTCAGTTAACTAAATCCTTCGATTCAACTTTGACTCTTCGTCTACACTATCAGACATAAGCTGTTTCTTCTGTTCGTAATAAATATTCGTGTTATATTCAGTCAATTTCAATCACGAATTTTTCTCGAAGAAAATCAATCGAATCGAACAACGTATTTTTTTTCTTAATAGATGATTATTAACAAGAAACAAGTCTTTTTACACTTTCCACATCCTCTTTCTTATTTTTTTACTCTATGAATTCATATTCTGTTTCTCAACATTCATATATCCAACAGCGTCGAAGAATTGAGAAATGGGAATTCCTAAGTTGAAGAGGAATTATCAGCAACGCCATGATAATTTCTCGCGAAAACGAGAACTATTCCATCAGCCCCTTCATAGTTCCTCAATTCATAAAAGTCAAAATAATGCTTTCTCTGAAATACTTTTTATGCCATAGCATTCATGAATCTAAATTTCCCACTGAAAATATAAACATAAGAGGAAAAACTATCATGAATATTGCATTTTTGATTTTAATATTCGGCGACCTATGGAGGAACTGAGGAGGAATACCTATTCCACAGCCCTTGGACACCCCTCATGAAGATATATAACAAGTTTCAAGGATGTTGAAGTTGCTTCATATGATATATTGACTTTTCAGATAAAAGTCATTTCATACATCTAGCGATATCTAGTGGAAATACATGTGGATAGTTCAACTGTTTAATAAAGAGAATTATTGGAAAAGCACTAAAGAAAGACACGAACACAAACACATAGATACATTGATTAAAAGAGCAAATGTGCACTTCTTGTGTAAGATACTACAAATACGCATGAATCTTTGTTAACACTATCAAGTGACTCACTTGAATTATCACATGCAGCAAATAATAATGAAACATACGAATCTTATTCATTACTATTTGATAAAGCTAAACATAACTTCTCTACAAGTTCGAAAACTTCATTTATGCACTATGAATCATCACCAACAGCTCCAAATCAAACAATTAATAAAGAAATATCAGCTACGATTAATAATATAGCAAAAGAAGATTCTCAAGATTTTAATCTTTGGCTTTACTGTTTACTGTTTATAAAAGATGAAGAACAGGAAGAAACAGTAAGATTTAGAGAAGCAAATGCAAAAAATTGAATCAAGTAGAATTCATCTATTTGCTTTTAATATGTTGACTAAGATTTCATGACTCTCATTAAACAAATTTATAATAATTTTACTACCCTTTCTAATTATAGTCCATAGTATTTTAGTAGTAAAAACAATTATTTGTAAATGATTATAATATCGACAAATGTGTTTAGTTTGATCAGTATAACGATTCACTTTGTAGGATGAAATAGAAACCAATATTCATATGTCAACTAAATTATTTTCGAATAGTCATCTGACATCATCATATGACAAGAATGGTAAATAAAAATAGCCTAATTGTTTATGCCAAATTAACATATAATTACTCTTATTCAGAAACATCATGTATAAATCTGTGGCAAGGTGAATCAAAAACGAAGATAGTCGTGCATGATCAACTACGTGAATTGAAAAGGTAATATGTGCTTATTGATATAATTTGTTTTTTTCTTTCTCAAATAATTTCTACGCTCTCTCTCTCTCCTGCATCTATCGATTGGACACCATTTCGTTTATACATTTGCTTTTCTCCGTGAAAATTACTTTCGATGCCCTATCTGTATTTAAATGATTTTATTTCCCTTTTTTTCTCTTCGTCTTTCTCTCTGTTAGTCGTCGTTGTACATATATATTGACTGTATGTGAACTTGCTCCGTCAGTGCGCGCATCGTGATCATTTTTATTTCTGTTCACGTCGTCGACGGACAACAGTATTCATCCAGCTGATTTCGATAGAAATGGATTTTTACTCTTAATAAAATGCTAAAAAATATTGTTCATTCTTATCATGGAAAACTTCATACATTCGATGATTTTTATCGTAATGATTCAAATCCAATAAAATCACGTTTATCATCGAACGATTTAACATCAACAAATAATTGCCCATCACCGTCACCAACATCTCCATGTTCTCCAAATAGCAATCCATACACTTTTTATAACGTATTTTCTGATTTTAAATATTCAACAGCACCAGATGTTGTACCTGAAGAAGACGAAACTGAAGATAAAAATGAGATAATTGAACCAGACTCCAATAGTGCAACAGCTGTTTTTTATCTAGAAGATGATCATAACAGTCATCCTCAAATTTCAGCATCATCGTCATCTCCTAATTGGCCATCATTAATCTTTCATCGTTTTCGACATTCAAATAATAATAATAATAATTATAATTATAATAATACTCATTCTATGGTTAAACAGATGTCAATTAATGAAAACCAAATGAATTTAACGAAATCACGTAAAAATGATCATATAGATTCATCAATAAATAAGCATCGATATCTTAAACGGTCAGAAACAATAACCCATACAAATGGTTTAACAGATAGAAAAACATCGGGTAATAATGATTTTTTAGAACTATCATTATCGACAACAAATGATGTTAAAAAACATCGTTCATTTGCCTCGTTATTTAATTATTTTCATCATAGTCATCATCAAAATTTACCAACGAAGAATCCTGGTAAATCGAATTCAATAGATACACTACATTTAGAAAATCTTAATTTAAATAATAATGATTTTTCACGTCCAAAACTTATCAAACAAAAACCTTTACCATCCAGCAATGAAATCTATTCACCGGTGACTAAATCTCCTCCAAAACCAATTTTACCAAAACTTGCATCTTTATTTCATCGTAATCACTCATCTGAACAACATATATATCGCGTAGGAAATTTGAAAGCTCGCCTTCATCATCGAAGACATTCACCACCATTAACGAATACTGCACCTAAGTTTCAATGTCAAGATTCTAATGAACTTATACAAGAAATAAAACGGTCAGAAGATGAACAACATCAAGATAATGATCATCATATTTCTACTCAACGTCCTGTTAAACCGGTGGTTATGAAACGTGTTCATACATGGCATAACACCTTCGATTTGCGACCAGTTGATCAGTGTCTGGAATATTGACTCGTGTCTTTTTCTTTCTTTCTTTTCAATGTATTGTGCATGTGTTTGAATTCAATGATATACATGATTCTTTTCTTTATATGTAGAGATTCATTGAAAAATCGACAAATAAATCTTAGTAGTGATGCTGACCAAGCATTTGAAAAATGTAATTTAAAAAAAAGAAAACTTTATTTTGATATAATCTCAATCGTTGAATGAAGGCAAGGACAACAATAATAACGCACGAATTTTCGAGAAAAGGATGTATGTAGTATTTTGAATTGTTGACTTCAATGAAATTCTCAAGTAAAACTAGATTTAGATTTCCTATGATCTAAACTAACTGGTTCACAATCTAACGAAATGAAGCAACCAATTTATTAAATAAATTAATCATTAACAATTTAGTTAGTATATATCATCGTTTTGAGTTATTTACAATTAAATTAATAAAATCTCCTTGGTCATATTCCAGTACCATGAATACTGGAATATATAAATATATCTATTGATCTCTGTAACTTTTTGCTAAATTTAAACAAAGAGATAGCAAACAGACAAAAAAGTCTGGTGATTTATTTCAATCGATGTTTTATACCATATTCTAATTGGCGCAAGACAAGAATTACTAAAATAAAATCCTACTATCTATTATTCAATCAAAAAACAATAAGTCAACCAATAACGATAGAATACTAATCGATTCTAGACTAAAATGACTATAAAAATGCTCAGAAGCATCATAGTTGTTTCATAACAATATAGGATGGTTAATAAAGGTAAAATAGAAACTAAATGAACTTTTATTTTTATTAGAAAAGAACCAATAATTGCTGATCTATTGTGTTCATTAAAGCTTGTTTTTATACGTCCATTGACAATATTCAAAGAAAATTTCATAATATCTGTTCAATATGATTGCATCACACTTTTCTATCATATTTGTTGGAAATGTAAACTGATCAAGACGTGAACTTCTAAAATAATATTGACTCTGATAAAGTTTTGAAATAAAATCTTACATTTTGTCATTTATGACTTTATTTCTTTTTATTCGTTACGCTATTTCGAGTCTTCGTCGATTGATTTTTCGAAAATTTTCTATCGGATTCAAAACAATAATTTCTAATGATCAATCATTATTGAATTGTTTGTGACTGTCAATTTTTTATAGAAAACTCGACTTCTTACGAGTATTTTTAAATAGATTTTTCACTTTCGTATTGATGTCATTCTTCATTTCTAGGTTACGTAATACGTATATGCTTTGAAAAATGAATATTTAATTGTACAAAACAAAAAACTGCTTCATTTGAATTAGTATTATCTTATTGATTTCTTAATTTTCGTCGAACAGTATACATTTCATTAGAAACAATCAATATTAGTACATCACATCAGAGATTTAGTAATATTCTGACATTTCAAAGTTTTTAACTGACAATTATTAAACAAGATATTTCATAAGTTCTATTTTAGCAAATTATCTTAGGCTTCTAGAAAGTTCTGGAGAGAAAATATGATTCGACTGTGACAAAGTCATAGAATATTTTAAAAAAGGTCAAGACACCTTTAAATTTATTTTTAAGAAAAATAGTCCACTAAGTATAATCTATGATAAATTGTTGAATGAAAATATCTGACATGAAAAGTAAAACAATCTTCAAGGTTGATTGTATGCCAATTATAAGAAATGATCAAACTGTTGCAAATTGTACACGTAAATCTCGTTTATCATTAATAGAGATTTGTTTAATAGTTCGACCTTGTTCACCATTTAAATTTAATGTTGATGTTCGTTCAACATTTGTGCATATCATTTGTATATGTTGATGTTTTTCTGTAAAAAGATTCCATAAACCTTTCATGCGATCCGGTAAAAGAGGACCACCATCAATTGTAACCATTGAATTCGATTGAAAATGAACATTTAAATATTTTAATGTTGCATTAAGAAATGGACGTGGTGAAATCAATGTTGGAGGAATTCCTGTCAATGGTCCAGTTAGTGACATGCATGTTCGTTGAGATTTATTTAAAAGAAAATTAAATAAACTATTTACAGAAGATAAATCTCGGATGAAAATTGTTGTTGCACGTGTTTTTCCATTTGAAGGCTTTTTACTTGATGATAAACATCGTCGATCATTATTTGAATTGGTTGAAGAAGATGTTGATAAGCCCATATCTTCTAACCATTGAGCACATGTTACATCATTCTCATCCCCATTTTCGTCGTTCTCTTCGTCAATATTCTTATTTGCTGAGTTATTCAATGAGTCACCACCACTGAAAAATAACCAAAACTAGAATATTTTCGTTAACAGTGAACCTAAGAAACAATTCAATATTCTTGACTTCTATTTTTTTTCCATTCCTAAGTGCGTATATGTTGTAAAAGCACAAAGTACACTTTGCTAGCTTTCAGTGAAGCTGAAATAATAAAATTAATCTTGTAGGGTTCGTATGCCATTGCAATTTTTCTTTACTTGCATTATTTAAACTACATGACAGCTTGAGGCAACTCATTAAAAAAACGTCAATCACATGTTATCAAGAATATTTCATCAATATTGAAAATATTTTCAAAAATTGTCACTGCAAGATATAAGATGGTTAAAACTCAAATAGACAGTAACACTTATGCATCAATCAAGAACTAGCAGAATATATACGTCGTATTTTCACGTAGTAATGGAAAGTATACCGATACGATTATAGTTTTCGATAGAAATGTTTTAAAATAAAATTGTGGCAGAGAATTTCTATTGATATTCATAACTTGGAAAAGATTTGTGTTGTATTCAAATTTTGATTGGTCAAATATTATCTGTTGTAACAATCTATCGTCCTAAAGTAGCATTGCATCTGATCAGTTTTTACCATAGATAATCTTGATGAATCCTTTTATTACTTGTTAGTAATGATAGAAATTGCAGATCACAACACCGACAACTTTTATTAGAGAAAGCGTTACTATTTAAGCGTCTATGTCAGACAACAAGTGCTTGAATATTTTACGAGACATGAAGCCTTCTTCATCTCAAACATACGACTGACATTGCACATGCCTATGTTTTGGCTGTAATAGAAGATCTGGTTTAATTTTGAAAAATAACTTCTTAAAATAGTTGCAGTTTTTTCGTTTTTTTTACTTACTCAGTCATCGTAAATTCAATTCCTTCTCGTTCAAGTGTTGATCTTAATCCACTGGTTGTTGGACTAATGATTGCCATAATTTGTGATGTTGAGTCTTCTCGAAATAAAATATTAAACGTATGTGTACACATATAAAAAAATGAAGAATGTTTTGTTCGAAATGCTTGGAAAAGAGATTGAAATGCGACTCTCCATTCATCTTGTAAAACGATTTGTGCTTGTTCGTCCAATGATGAAAAATTAGCATTGGTTTGTTGTTGTTGTTGTGCACGGGGGAATAATCGTAGCCAAGCTATATGCGGATAAGTCCAATATGATGTTAGAGAGCGAAAAAGAGCTTTTTCATTATCTTGCGATATATTTGAACAAATATATTCTAATGCAAGAGATTCATCAATAGAACGAAGTTTCATAAAATTATTTAAAAACGACGATGAATTAAGAGAATAGAACCGACATGATGATTTTAATGACCAATCAATTGGAAATGAAGCAACGATTTCATCAGAACTTTGGTCTAAATAAAATGAAGTCTTGATTACCTTTTTTTTTCGGTTCCGTTTTCTCTTTGCTTACTTGATTCAGGACTATTAAATGTTTCTTCAAATGAAAAACTTTTGAAAGCTGCACTAAATTGACTATCATTTGGTACTGGTGGTGGCATTATTTGATGCAAACGTGCAAGAAGATGTTCATCATGATTTGTTTTTTCTGTTATTGGTGGTGTAAAATTTTCATCTGCTGTTGGCGTTGATATTGATCGTGCTAGTGCAAATTTATTAATAACACTGCGATTTCGTTTTCCAGTTTGTTTTTGAGAATTTTTTTCAACTATTGATGATGAGAATGGTTGAAGCGACAAGTCAGAATTTATTTTATGACGAATACGCTTTAATGATATCCGTGATGGAGCTTTCCATGGTGATAGTGGCTTTCCGTTATTCAGATCCATCAGATAAGATTTTTATTTCAAATTACTTTTTTTAATATTAATTCAACAGCTGTTTCCCTTTCAGTGCATTATAGATCACTGTTTTCGATTGGCTGATTTTATTCGTCCGTTGAAAATTTTTGGTATAAAAAAACATTTTCTATGAAATCATTTTTTTCATTAATAGAAATCATTTTTCAAAAAAATTTGTTTAAATACAATGAATAATATTTAAAAAAGTGTACGTGATTATTTGATTCAATGTAATAAAACCTGGAATGTAGTGGAGGATCCATTTGTTGTTTTCTAATTCATTTTTATGTTTAGATGATACAGAGTTACAATCGTACAATGTTTTATTCTTATTCTAGATTGTTTGACCATAAATTCATTGTCAACAATGAGTACCGGTACTAAGATCGTAAAAAGTGGTAGTGAACCACCAACACCGCTCGAACTTGATGTTTCTCAAGTATGTAAAAAAAGTTGTTTGTTTTCTCTTTATGTTTTGCTTTATATTTTTTATTTATTTAGCAACTGACTGAACTCGAAGGTAATCCACAATTCAAGGGTCAATTACGAGAACTTTATATCACTGGAGCCAAGGTTTGTCGTATAATTTTTTAATTATGAATGGTCGAATGAAAATAATATTCTATTAATAGAAAATTGAATTGGGTGATGGACGATCTGCCCTCGTTATTTATATTCCAGTGCCAAAAATAAAAGCTTTTCAACGAGTTCATTCATTACTTGTTTCTGAACTCGAAAAGAAATATAATCAAACTGTAGTTCTTGTTGGACAGGTTGATATTTTTATTTTGAATTCTTATCATCAATTTATTCTTTATCCTTTTCAGCGTCGAATTTTGCCAAAGCCAACACGCAAATCGAAAACACAATCGAAACAAAAGCGTCCACGAAAGTATGTTTATTTTGCTGCATACAATTTATCCGTTGATTAGTATATTAATAACTTTTTTTCGCTTGTAGTCGAACATTAACTGCAGTTCATGATGCTATTTTACACGATCTTGTTTATCCAGCTGAGATAACAGGCAAACGTATTCGAATTAAATTGGATGGATCTCGTTTATTCAAAGTTCATCTTGATAAAAATCAACAAACACTTGTTGAAAATAAGGTTTGATTTTAGAATTGACTATCGAATTAAATCTATTCTGTTCTTGTTTAAATTTAGGTACCAGCTTTTCAATCAATTTACAAGAAAATTACCGGCAAAGATGTTCACTTTGAATTTCCTGAAGTGCTCATCTAAACAGTAAAATAATAAGAAGAAAATCTTTTGATAAGCAACAGTTAATATACTGCTCGTTGTTTGTTTTTGTTGTCCATCATCTGTTAATTAACGGAAAAAAACACCAACAATAAAACATCAGGGAGATGATCGCTCCTACCGTAGGACAATAATACTTTCTTTTAATGTTGACAAAATTGAAAAGAAAAGAAATCATGAAAATATTTTTACTGATAATCATTGTTCAAAGAATAAATCGATGAAAATATGTATGAATTCATTTGGAATTATGGATTCAACAGATCGTATCTATGTAACAAAAAAGATAATCGATGCGAAAAAAGTCTAGATATCGAACTAAAATTTTCTATTAAGTTTTGAAAAATCAATCCATTCTATTTTCTATTCTTCATAGATTTTATCACATTGGAAAAGTCTACTAATATGTTATAAGTTTTTTTTTAAACTGTCACTTTTGAAATGTTCTCCAAAATTCTCGTAAATCTTGGTATTTTTCTGAATGTTGGACGAGACCAAATATCATTACCGAAGCGAAGCTATAGATTATTTCCTCATACTTAATGTAAATATTAGAAGAAACTTGGAAAAATGTTATAGCGCCAACCGAAAAATCTTTCTGTCACAGTGTGATGTATCTGTATTCAGCAAGTATGGAATACGTAATCGATTTGTTTTTCTTGTTGTTTTTAGAAAAAATGTGGAAAATATAATCAACGAATAGTAGTGATATGAGATATCCAACAGATTTAACGAACTTCAGAAAAGTGGGAAAATCTTTCAATTCGATATCGATTTTCGAATTTTTCTTCTGAAACTCATAAACTGAAATATAAAATATATTCTAATGAATAGTGCAAATATTTTTCCGAACAATAAAGAATAGATATCCTAATTATTGTTTGAAAATGTGTTCATCGCTTGTTGAATTTTAGAAAATTAGTATGATCAACTGACAAAAATGAATAAAACAAGTAGCTAAATATTCTTGTACAAAAATAATTTCATTCAATTTGAATTAATATTTTACTTCATAAGTTACAAATTTAACTCAACTGATCTATGAATGGCAAAAGATTTTGAATTGGTTGCTAGTGAAAATTTGCACAGTTTTTGAATTAATTAAGGTATCCATCATTCACATTCCATGCGTAATGTCACAATTATTAGCAAAAAATTGTTTGGAAATCTCATGTTCATGGCGAAATAAATAAATGTTTCCTGTTTTAACCACCGTCCATCATGGCTACTATTCAGAATCGAACGATTTATCATCGCTTTCGATGTGAACTCTTTTCAAAATATTATTTGCAAGCTTTTCTTTTTTCATTAATTTATCACAAATGATAATAATAGAATTTCACACATGACAAGATTGTTTCCAAAATTTGTTTTTTGAAAAACAAAACATTAATAAGCCTTTGATACAAAATGAAGTGACACAGTTACTATGTTACCCTCTCTCCCCTCGTCGCAATCATAAAAATAAAATCAACTTCTCTGTTTCATAGAATTTTAACAGCTGGTATCAACAATTCTCTTCTGCTTTAAAAAAAAGTCGACACAAAAAGTTGTTTACAAACAAAAACTAATAATTGATATGTTAATTAATATTTTTTTGTATCGTGAAGGAATTCGAAACGTAGATGTTAACTACTACATATTGTCAACTATCCAACTTTATTATAACCTCTTTTAGGAACACGCACGTTTCATTGAAGTCTATGCTATAGAAACGTTACTAAGAGATTTTTCTATCAAGCTGACAAGAAAATTTGTTTTTGAAAAATGATATTACTGGTTAAGTTGTCTCGAGACAGAAAATCATCTATGTCGTCTGACATTGATTTTTCTGTAATCTTTTAAGTCAATGATTCGGACTAATGGATAGTCAGAGTTCAAGTCTGTCTCATGAGTCAATATCGACCGTTCATCTTTCTTTGTGTTTATAACGATTAGAAATCACTAAGATGAAGGTTTCCAACCGTCGAAATCTAATTCAACTATTTCTAAACGATTTTTCTTTGATCAAAGAATTTCTAATTTGAAAATTTCATGCATTCAATTTAATCTCAAGTAATACAACGAATTTACGAAAAAAATTTCATACTTTTTTCAATTGTAAATGCATATAAGTATTTCTTCTAGCTGTATATTATGAATTTATTTATTTTCAACAAAGAAAAAAGTCAAGGCAATAGCAAAAAAAAACGTAAACAAAGGTAAAGATAATAAGAAGAAACAAGAAACAAGAAAAGGAAATATAATTTATTACATGACAAATCGTATATGTTTTAATTTAATCGAAATCGAATAAAGTTGATCCAGGAGTCGAACTAGATCCGTTATTACCACCGTCATTGCGTCGATTAGCATTCGTTGATGAGGATTGATCTTGATTTGGAAAAAAGTTATAATATTCACGATTACTTGTATTATCACCATCTAATGTTACACGACATGTCGGACATGTTCCATGCTAAAATAAATTATTTATATTTGATTAATATTAAAGACTGTGTGTCGTTTTACCATTCGGAGCCATCGCGATATACATTCTTCATGAAAATGATGTGAACAAGGAAGACGTTTTGCTAGATCATTTTCTTTAAAATCATCCATACAAATAGAACACTGTAAACTATCACCTAAAAGAATTTAATAGAAATATTTTTTTTAAAGGCATCATGATTTCTTTTTAAATTATAGAAAATAGCCTACTTGCTTGTGCAGCAGTTACTTTCACCGTTGGAATAGTATTGATACGATTTTCAGATGCTGGTGCTGGACCACCATTATCTCCCATTTGATTTAGGAACTGACCAAAAAAGAAAATATTAATGAAAACTTACAGAGAAAATGAAAAAGTATTTACTTGCGTAAGAAATGCATCAAGATTTGTGGGATCAAAATAACCTGCTGTTCCTCCTCCTCCTCCGCCACTATTCTGCATGCCACTAAACACAATAGAAAATAAACACTTGTTTAATTCATTTCGAAAGATGAGCACGATAAATACAATGGAAATTGTGGACCACCAGCAAGTTGAGTAAAAACAGTTTGAAAAAAGTTTCCGATATCTGGATTATTAGTTTGATTCACATTGTTAGATGGATGACCACCGCCAATAAATATTGTTGTACTACCAAATGGTGTTGAACCATGAAATTGTGCTCTACCACGATTACGTGGTTGTCCAATTCGAGAATGACTAAAATTGTTTCGTTTTATTTTTTAAATTTATTATTATAAAATCATTAAAAGGATATTTACGATGAAGTATGTTGGGAAGCAATCTCTTCTATAAAAGTATCTCTACAATGTGGACATTGGAAATTCTACGAGAAAAATTTATGTAAATATCATACATGACAAAGAAATCATTTTTACTGTAACGTGTCCGATATGGACTTGACATTTATGGCAAAAGTAATCAGGAACAGCAGTAGCCATCAACTTGTGTGAATTTCTTTTAAACACCGGTGGATCAAAACTTGGTTGAGTATTTATCTAAAACTATTATTTAAGGAAAAAGAACTTTTGCAATAATAGACGGATGATGAAAACGAACATTCTGGAATAAATCATTTCATCGGTATTTCCACTGAAACTTAAAAATGTTATTCAATGAGTCAAGAATATAAGTTAAAAGCTCCTGTAAAAATAAGAATCTGTAAATGGGAGACTCGTCATTGTTTATTATGAAAGGGAAGAATCTTAGTGGTCAAATCAGCAACCAATGGCTGATGACGATGCCTAAATAAATGAATAAACAATATGCATGTATCTATACACAGATATTCGAACAAGAGCTGTTGTTGTTTTTTTTGAAAATTCAAATTTCATTTCAATCTTTAAGATAAATACAATACAAGAATGAGCAGCGGCGTTGCTGCTTCGCTCCGGCGAGGTTTTCTTGCAAATCAACATCATCGTTTACTTATTGTATCAGCATGTTCTATTCCTAAAAATCATCGAACATTCTCTATGCAATATAAAGATACAGAAAAGCCTGCTCATCCATTCGATTATGTTAACAAGAATTATAGTAATATAGAAAATATGAATACTATTTTAAAATGATGCCTTTTTATTTTTTATTTAGACTTTTTTCGTCATTATTATTTAGGTGGTCATTATACACTGGCAAATATTCATGATAATTCATTATTTTTTCATGTTGAATCTAATTTCGGTGTTCAGAGATCGGATCTTGTTAAGCGTTTAGCTAATCATATTGGATTTTTGCCTATCACAAAACCGGATGTTGATCGAATGCATTTTGTCGATGAAACAGGCACAATAAATACACGACAATTTCATAATGATTATTGTTTACCAAGGGATTATATACCATCACCAGAAGAATGGCACTTAAATCCGAACCATCACGCATCTGTGCGATTGTTAAGACCACTTTTACAAACAATGACTTATCAATTACGAATGGGCTTATCTCATTTGTTTTCAACTGGTATAAATTTTTATTAAGATAAGAATAAATCTATTTTGATCTGTTTTTGTTTTAGGGCAAGGACTTCTTATGGATCGATCATATTGGAGTTATTATGCTATTCTCAATATTCTTCGTGATTTTGGTTATGTTAGTCAAGACGGTTAGTTTCAATTTTCACATGATTTCTATTCGTTTTGTTTTTATTATAAAATTTTGATCAATATTCGTACTAGGCTGTATTTGAGAGGCGTATTCAGAAGAAAAACATACTTATTGAACATAATGAAGACATAAAAGGAAAGAATAAATCAGTACTTCATCAAAAGTAACTAGATTACTGCTTGACAATAGATTAGTAAGATATTAACTAGTTTGCCTATGATATCTGATATTTAGTTTTATCATTAATAGCTATTCGAATGTTCAATAAAATCTTCTATCAAATGTGTTTCATACCGAAACCTCATTGATGTAGTAAAACAGCGCGAGATTTGTTCAATAGATTTACACAATTGTATTCAGATTTTATGTGAATATGAAATAAGCTTTTAAGAGTTCTATATAATAGAGTACAAAATTGTAGATGGAGTATAAATTACGTATGTTCCGACGGCCTGCACTTGACCAGGTTATAAAACATTGAAAAAAAAAAGATGTATTGTTTTTAATCGTTTCTTTTAGCGGCGCTATAATAAATATCGGTTTTCTTGTGATGATTATCAGTTTTTTCTCAAAAAAGATTTCAAAAATAAGATGACTTCTTATTTTAATAAGAATTTTGTTTTTCGAAAACCTCTTCTATCATAGTTTATCAACGGAATTTTGTATTTATCTTTTTTCAATAAATAAAAATCAATCGATGAGAAAAAGAGATATTCTATGAATTTCTTAAGATCCAACTTGAAAAACTGATTTCAGATCAAGTTTATTCTATTACGTCTAACCGTTTCTATTACAGTGAGGCTACAGTAGAAATATCATATACCTTGATGCTTCAGTATTTTGAAAGTGTTTCGACATTCACTGTTTGTTACCATCTTTTTTAAAGTATTGATTTCTATGTGGAGAATCAAATTGAAAACTAAAATGTATCCAAAAAAACTCTTCATATATCAGCTATTATTCATAGAGATAGTGATATTAATAATCATGCGAAGGTTTAATTGAAAGATAGGTCACTTTACTAGATCCTCTATATGAACACGTGCTGCTAAAGAAAAAAATCCAATGTGTAGAGTGAACTTATCTTTTAGAAATTTTTAGTTGGGTAACTAATTACGAATTAAGAGATAACATAGCGACGAAAATCATTTTCTACTTTCTCTAAAAAACTGAGTCTTTTGAAATACAGGAGCAAATAATTCACGCGTGAAACTTCTGATATAAAGTTATCCTCGAATGTATTATTTTTTTTGATAAACTTTATGTAAAAAAAGAGCTGAAAGGTTCACTGACCAATAAAAATTATTTACATCAGATTTTGAATAAAGAAACAGATTCTCTTCGAATTGAAATATTTTTCAAGACTTATTTTAAAATAAATGCTACTTTAACAAAGTCAGCCATAAAAGTTATTCCAACGAAAAATACTTTTCAGGAATGCAAGCAGACTTAATTTTCTTGTATAGAACCGGTTCATAGCATTCTGTCAGTTCTTTTTTGTCGTGTCTAAACCAACTATTCGCGGTCTTTGATCTGACCTATATATATTCTAGGACAGTCTTTGCATTGTGTTCTTAGATGTCCATGTTATTATTAGAATTAAATCGAACTAGACTATTATCTTTATGAAATTCCATGGAAATCGTACATAGCGAAACCACAGAGCTAAACAAAATGTAAGTTTTTTCGTCTTTCAAGAAAAGACAAAATAGAACGAGAAAAAATTCAATCATTCAACAACGACATAAGTATACGTAAATAAGAATTTGAAGGTTAGAGATATATTTGAACAAGACGAATAAATAAAAAAAAGATCGCCGATTAATCTACTCACACTCTATCACTACATATGATTATTTGTAGTCACATTATCTAAAAAGAAACGTTCTCTCCATTGAAGTGACAATAATATTTCATCCTAAACATTGATACATACAGTTTTTCAACTAAACAAAACGAAATTTTCTATGAAAAATATGGAAAAATCCTCGCAGATAAAGTACACGTCTATTTGCAGCAGTGTTAAGAATTTTGTTTTGTCTGCAACACACTTTCGAAGCAAAGTCAATGCCTGTTTCAATCATAGTTAACTTCCTAGTTTGGTCTTTGATAGCAACTATCAACATAAAATTTCATGATAACAATTCGAATATAGTTCTCTATTTGAAACAATTAAAATCAATCGAACAATTTGATTCATCATCACCTGAAATATATTAGAAATACGTTGAATGCTGAAATACCGATTGATTTTAAATAATAAATTTCATGCTTATTGTTAGTTTTGATAATATATATATTTATCGTTTATAATATAAAATATAAAATAGCAAATAGCTACTTCCAACAAGAGAAAATCTATACCTTTTTTCTTTTTTTTTCTTTCTAAATTTCTTTTAACTTCAGCGAGTATGAAGAGTTTGTTTTGACAACCGTCATTAACGAGAAAAAAAAGAAGCAAAACTCTTTTTCGAAATGTTTATTAAGAAAACAAACATCAAAGTATGTTATAAAAAGAAAAACAAATGATCGATTGTAGTTAATTTTTTTCTCATGATCAAACTGCCTTTATAATATAAAGAAACTAACCCCATGAGATTTACGTCATGGATATTAGTAGTGTTCATTATATTGATGAAAGTTTGATTAGGGCGATATTTAATAGGTAAATTTAAAAAAATATTTTCTATGTCATACATATATATATTGAATCTTATTGTATTTTCTAATGATTTATTGTCATTTAAAAGGATATGATTTTTTAATGGAATATAAAGTATCTATTGATTATCATTTGAAAATGCCTCGTCTTATTATCTTCATCGACAAAGATCCTCATGCTATTTGGGAAGATTTACAAAAGAACGGAAAGGTAAAGCCATAAATTCTGTTTCATAAATTTGACAAATTTTCGATTGCCATTCTATAGGATTATCATAAGCAAAGTAAAGTTTACTCGCTAGAATTGCTTCAAGCAATGGATCGAATGTATAAAGAAGAATTTTTACCAAGAATGAGGTTGGTTTTGATTTTTTGTTTGTTATGTTATTTCACAGAAAAATAAACGATGAAAATTTCATTTTACAGTACCTACTGTCACATTCTTCAATATAATGAAAATGAAATAAAAGCATTGGATGATGTATGTATTTTTTGTATATTATTTAATTCGAAGTCGTTGTTTTCCTTCTTTTAAGATTGTTTTTGATATTGAACAACTTAATTTTGACGATACAAATAAATTTCCGGATTGGCGAATAACAGTTGATGTTGAATTAGAACGATTTCGTGCTTTGTATGCTTTCAGTTTGATTTTATTCTGATTGTATCTTTGCTTTTATTAGACTTCAAGATGAACATTTTTGGACACGTATGTTTAATGTCAATCGTCTTCTTCATCTTTCTGAATGGTGGACTGAACCAAATGCACAAAAAAGTCAATCAACCCTTATGAAATATGTAAAATACGTTAATTTTAATTAATTTAAAATCTAAATTGAAATTTGATATAGGATCCTCGATATTATTGGACAACAAATAATTGGGATATAAAACCATTCTTTCAACGTTATCAAAGTTGGACTCGTTTACCATTCTATTAATTCAATTGTAGAATTGAAAAGACTTCTTTTTTTTCCTTTAATCTTGTATTTATCTTTTTTTCTTCCCTCAAAAATAGAATATCATTAACATTTTCTATCAATACCGAGATGAATTTAGCTCTTTCTTTTCTTCGTCGTCATTGTTTTTTTTTACAGATTATTATATTAAAAATGGCTGATCGAAATGCACAAATTCGAGCTTCATTAAATGCCAAATTAATTGAGAGCGGTGAAAGAGAACAGTAAGTTTTAATGCATAAATTAAAATATAATCTGTTTAAATATTTTTCATATACAGAATGAAACAACTACTAAGACAACGATTGATGGAACATGGATGGAGAGATCAAATGAAAGCATATTGTAAAGGTACTAACAAAGATTATTTACAATGTTCAACATCTTGAGAACATGAGATATGCAATCAATGCAGATTTTAATATGATTAATCTCCTCTTTTTCATATTCAAAGTATATTGATCATTTGTAAAGTCAAAATGATTCAAAATTGACGATATCTACTGTGAATTATTTTGAGAACATGAATCGATCTGTCAGAAAGTTGAAGGCATCAAATCTAATTTTTCTTGCTGATATTTCTGTTCGATCATAGACTACTTTGAAAAAAGTTCATGTTTTCATCTTATATTAGAAAAGTTCTAAAGAATTCATGTCATATTTCCAGTATACGTAAAATGACACAACACAATCTATCTCATTTTGAATAATGTTTATTTTGCAGAAATTGTTAAACAAAAAGGTCTGGAAAATATTACAGTTGATGAACTTGTACAAGAAATTACACCAAAGGGTCGTGGTAAATCTTTTTGTTTATTTTCATGAATTTTTCATCTAAAACATTTTTCTGTACATCTGTTAGCTCTGGTACCAGATACCATTAAAAAAGAAATGTTAACTCGTCTTCGCCAATATTTATCACAACATGAAGAACTCTAACTGACAATATTATGTGTACATGTTGTTCGTTTAAAAGATAAATAATAATAAAATAAAATAAAATAAAAATGCTGTGCTCAGAAAAAAAGTGAACTATTTCAGATATGAGTGATAATAACACTAAACACAAAGAAGTATTTTCACCTGATCATGTATCTGCTGGTCGTTATCGAGGTGGTCCTCATGGTTTAGGTTAAAGCATTCATGAAGAAAACTATTAAACGCTTTGAAAAATTAATTTATTCTTGTCTAGGTGATCCAGATGATAAAACCTTACGTAAAGTTGAATTAGAAGTTTCTATACCAGGAATTGTTCGAGATCGAGCTCATCGAGAAAAATGTCATTATTTCATTGATGGTGAGATATGTCGACTACGACAAGTTGAAGTCCTTTTTTTCACACATATTTATGTATTTGTAGAGTTCGGCAAGTGTGGTGAACAACATGGTTTTTGGGCAGTTGCTAAATGTCGCAAAGAAGTTAAAGCTATGAACGAATGTCTCGCTAAATGGTAATTCAAATAAATTAAAAGATTTTTTAGTTTTTGAAATTCTCAATTGAAGGTTTAATAATGAAAAATTTCGTGAAGAATGTACACAAGTATATTTGGATGAACGAACACAATATCGTGAAACTGGTGTTCATACAAAACAAATTAAACGACCTTATTATATAAATCCTCAAAAAGAATTAGAACGAATAAAAAAAATTAGAAAAGAATATGAAAGATTAGAACATAAAGATGATTAGTTTTTTTTTAGATTAAATATTAAAATGGTTCGTGTTAAGCGACGTTATTTTGTTTTTCAATTTCATTTTAATTCTAATCCTACAACTATAATTAAGTCATCACATATTCATACAACATTTGAAACAATGATATCTCGATTATATGGTGATGTAGGTATTGCTCGTTTTACCAGAAATCTTTCTATTATTTATTATAATTCATCAACACATGTTGCTATTGTTCGATGTCTTCGTGATGATAAAAAGATGCTACAAACAACAGCAACATTTATTGCAAAATTAACCAATGATTCCATTGAATGTTCAATACAAACACTTCACGTTGGTGGCAGTATTCGACAATGTAAAAAGTATTTGGTTAACTATTGTATTGAACAGTTACTCTTTATCAATGCACAATCCATTAATCGAAATCAAGCAACATCTCAGCTATTTAAAAAGAAGAAAAAAAAAACAAACACTCAACAAAAATTGATGGATATTGATCCTGATAAACAATCAGCATTACAAAAACTTTTAGCAGATAGTCGAATAGAATCGACTTCAAACATTGTATCTAAGAAAGATGATGATGATTATTTAGGAAAAAGAAAAAGAGATGATGAATAAATACTAAAATGACTTTTAGATCTAGATTTACGTTCGTGACTTGAAAGATTTACATTTGAAAATAATTTTTCTTAAACAAAGCAAAGAAACAAATAATCTAATGATTTCTGACAAATGTAACAACAATTCATTGATATATGTTGCTGAAATACAGTGATGCAGTCAAGTATCAACGATTGAACGAGTGTTGACTAGTAAAATGTTTATTATGTACAAAATAATTGTGAAACAGTTACTATACAGCAGTTTGTTCCTAAGGTGACCACAATTATTGAAACCTCAAAATAATCTAACTAGAAAATTGCTGACCGCTGAGCCATTCCTGGCTCTATCCATGTTGTGATTCTTAAGAAAATTGAAAGAACTAACCATTTAGATACAAAATACCGGATTACTGTTCATTGAAATTATTAACACTAATTTGAGTTTCCAAGAGCCTGCATTCTAAAAGACTTGTATCTCATTGAATTCGAAGAAAAATATCATATCGTATACTCTTGATTGATACATAAATGGTCAACGTTCTTTTAGTCGATCAAACGATACAATAATCGTAAAGCTAATCATAGGATGTTTCGATAGATGGGATAACAATTGCCGAAACTTTTACGCTCGAGAGACCAATGTCTGACTGTGATCCCTTTCATTGCGTCAGCTACTCTATGTTGGCGAACAAATAAAAAGAACCTGCTGAAATCACTCGTGAGAATATTTCTTTTTGAATATGAATATTTGTTTTTTGAGCAACAACAGAAAACGAAACGAACATCACATATTTTCTATCTTTTTCAAAAACTCCATATGTGAAGAATTTATATTCACCTTCAATTGATTATTATTTATTTTGCCACCAATGAAAATTTTTATGGCAGCATGTACCTTTTGTGTTAATTCGCCAAATAATTGATGATAGTCCATTCCTTTAATTTATTTTTGATCCTACAACGAATAAATGATTGAATAAACTTCAGTGCCAAAGTTTCAAAAGTTGAAATTTCGATTCGTTCTAGATGATATTAAAAATAAAGAGCAAGACACTAATCACTAGCAAGAGACTGGTTCATTGCATTCTAATTAAATCAGTTTCTCCATAGAAATTTCACGTTGTAAATTGTGGTTATTTATCCACATGTACCCACCATATTTACAATCAATAGGTAAAAATCTGAACTGAATCTATAAGATAATTAATGCTGAGAGCGTTACAAACGGTGACATAGAAGCTTTTCTATTTTACGAGCTCAACAACGAGAGTACAAGTTACTTGAAGAATGAGAGGAATTTCTTATTTGACTTTTTTCGTCGAAACATATATTACAAAGATATTTTCAATGAAATTTCATATGTTGCCTGATGTACTCGTTGTTGGAGAATCTCTATAACGTCATTGAAGAAAATGTGTTACGTCTGATTTCCTGTTTAAATCAATGCAGATTATTATAGAGCTCTTTACAAGCAATTTCTAATTTTCTTCAGTCTAATACAGCTCTTAGAATTTGTTTTCTTTCAATTTTTTTGTTGCACCGTGCTGATTGCGAAAATTTTCCTTTATTCACGAGAAAAAATTATCCAAACAGTTGAATTATGAAAAGAACCAACAAAATTGGTATCAAATTAGGAAAATCTTCATATTTCAGCTAACTAATTCACTGTATTGTCATAGATGCTGTCGTATCGTTTTCCTATTGCATGTCTTCTGTCCATTAGCTATTATTAGCGTAAATTATTCGATTGCTTCCCTTTATAAATGATGATTAGTATACCACTTTGAATATAGCCTTACAGCTTCAATGCTGCGTCGTCCGAACGTATATTGATAATAATATTTTCTCTTCTCATTTTGTACATTTTTTGATCTGATTGAAATCAAATTGAGAAGCTATATCTATGTGAGAGGATACCGACGTTAATCAGACTCATTTTGATAAATAGATCTAACCCATGTTGCGAATACCGGATCATTTTTTGCGGTAAACCGCGGTATTTATCCGTTCTGCGGTAATGGGAGCCGGTAACCGGACCGGTAAAACCGCGGTTAACCGCCGATTTTCATGCGGTTTTTATTACATGGGAAATCCTTTCGTGTCGATAACAATCATGCAAGAATTAGAATATTTAACAAACTTTCGAGAACTACTTACAGAAAGTGATAATGGTGGAACATCTTGAGTCATTATTTTGCTTATTTATTAATGAGACAAATTAGAAATTTGGATCTGTTTCTAATAGCACAGGCGATGAAGTCAATGCACGAATCCCAGGAGATTCAATCCGACCAGTGGATCCGATCGTTTCCGGCATCAGACACTATGGATTCCGTTGCTTTTCGGTCGGCTCCGTTGAATTTCGACGATTTCCTAACTAACGGATTCCGGTCCAGATTTCGTCAGACCATTTCCGATCAATTCCCATCGGTTTCGTCGATTTCCGACGAATTCCGGATCGAAATTTTGCGGAACTTAACGGAATTTTTCCGGCAGAAACCGGATCGGAATCCGTCAGTTAGGAAATCGTCGGAATTCAGCGGAACCTATCGGTTCTGACCGATTCCGACGTACCCTGATTCTCCTGGGATAAATCGATAAAATAAATTCTATCCACCATGACCGACGAGCATGGTACTCAAGCGTTATCAACCGGAATTTCTTTTTCTTTCTTTCTTTTGTTGCACAGAACAGACACAATTCTAACTTTCATTTCGATTGACTGGCTCGAATTTCTTTCTAACCCAGGTCGTGCATTACGACGACTAGATACACACCTATACCCGAATTTACGACCGTACACGACCCATATTCTAACGTTTTGGTATGCGCCGTAAATCGCCGTGCCGTATACGGCAGAACACAAGAACCGTTTAAAAGCAGTATCCGACCGTATACGGCCGTATCATAAAGAGGAAACGACCAAACACTGCAATGTATAGGACTGCAACAACATCGTAACCGACCGTTTACGGCCGTAATTTTGAACAAAAAGAAAAATACATCAAAAATCTCTCTGCCCGCTAGCGAGCACACTACTTACATCGATTGTGCCACATTTCCACAAACATCACACTAAACAAATGCAGGTAGCCAAACGAACCTACTCCATATCACACCGAAAATCACAGAAATCATGCTTCCCAAAGATCTTTAAGGAGCACTGTCTACATCCTAAATCTATCGAGAGCACTTAAAGGTAACTCCCTATCATTTCACGTGCATCATACAGCATAGATGGAACCGGTCCACTTTTTTTCAGACCGGACCAGACCAGTCTACCAGTTTCGATCGGTACTAAAGATGTGAGCTATGGTCGATTAGTTGTTTCAGGAAACTTAATCTCTCGATGAAATGTTCATGAATCAACAACTGATCGAGATTTAACTTCAAATATTATTTAAAATTTGATCTCTGTTATGTGTCATGGATCACTTTCGACCGGTTTCGACCGGCCAGTCTAAAGTCCAGACCGGTACCGAACCGGGCGGTTTCCGGTACCGGTTCCATCTATGTCATACAGCAGGGAGCATGTGAAATCTGAAAAATACAAAAAGCATCAAAGAAATTCTCATTAAATCAATGTCTTTTTGTAATTATATCATTTATCGAAAATCGGTAATAATTTTCAGAAATGATATTCGGTATCAATAATTGCTTGCGGCGTTATTTACGATAATTCATATAGTATAGAGAACAAGAAATCTTTAAATGATGAATATTTATACAAGATATATAGGAAAACTGGTTAAGGGGAAATTGTCAAAAATCCCCGCTAATGACATTCAGTGAAGATCATGATGCAAAATACAAAAAATTGGATATACGGTAATATCAGTAATAGCACGAATGGAAATCGGTGAAAAAATAAGTAGAATCACTAATACCCAGGTCGAAAAATCTGACATAAGATTCAGATTCTTATCAGATCTTAGTATCTGATTGTTTGTCCTGGGTATCTGCTTACTGTTTGTTACGAAATTGCATCTTTCCGATCGTAGAAATACTCGTAAAGATTATTTTTTTCTGAATTGAGTGGATTGATTCCGCAGCGTTCAATAGGAATTCGATATTGAAATATGTTCAGTATAGATCTGCTACAAAGTTTAACTCGGTTGTAAGGGAAAACGATGTTTCTGTTAGATTTATTGCGAAAAGTCAAGTGGGATTTCCGGATGTTTGTGACATAAGGCTTCTAGAGATCATACATAACCTATGCATTCTGCTGTTTTGAGTGAATATATATAGGATTTATTGAACGTTGTACATTCATGCAAGTGCAGTTTCTGATTTGCAACCAGAGATGTCATAATATCCAAACACTGGGTATCGTCGACATACCAGTCACGATATCCATTCAAGTGGATATCTAAAATGGATACCCATTTTCCTCATAGCTGACCAATTTGAGTGCATTTGGTGTAACGAGAATGGGTATCCATTTGGATGGATATCTATGTTTCTCCAGAGTTGAGCAATTTGAGTGCATTTGGTGTAACGAGAATGGGTATCCATTTGGATGGATATCTATGTATCCTCAGAGCTGAGCAATTTGAGTGCATTTGGTTTTATTTTAATATTGAGAAATTGAGGAGAATTTGTCCCGAGTTGGTATTGAATGGCTTTTTGAAGTGGAATGTAAACTTGGCTAATTCATTAGAATTTTTTTGAAATTTTTGTATCGATATGATTAGTTATATGAAATGCATCGAAGATCAAATTGCTTTACGAATGTAATGTAATGTAAACTCTGAGCAGAAGAATATAATCGGAAAAACTTTTAACAATCAAACACACTGATGTATCAAGTTAGATTTTCAACTAAATGTTTCTAACGGTGAAATAGTTGTGATAAAATAAGTGAGTATGGGCTTTTGAAGTTTATGTGTTGCAATCAAACGATCATCGAGTTAACGATTACGATAGGTTCTTCATAATTTCATGCTCGATGCTATACTATGGGAATATGTTGTGTTTTGAGAAATCTTTTCGGATATTCGTTTGATGGCTTATATTGATCAATATTTTTTTCGTCATCAGCCCTGGATTGCTACACCACTCGGTAGGGGATTTGTATGCGAATAGTCATAGATGTCTTTCATTGATAGTGTTTCCGCACAGGTGCACTTATCTTCACATCCTTTTTACCGCTCCCGTCGAATTCAATAAGTTGAGTTCAAAAATCAAAGTAAGATGCTACTACCATTTTCAAAAATGTTTTCGAGAACGAATCACGAATTTTCCTACTCACAGGTCCTACTGCAAACAAATTAGTATAAGCCACAATTCATATAATATACATGTGGCAATCCACAACAACACCAACTACACAGCATGCAACAGTTTCAACACGACTTCATTGAGTCATTGTGATGAAAGTCGTAATAAATTGTTATCAGGTGAAAATCAAGTTGTTCAACGAACATTTACCTGCAATTGCGCGCCATCTACAATACTCAATAAACAAATCTATACATATCGATAAACATTGGCATAAAGCTGACTACATGAATACAATAAATTTAAACATAGTATCACGTTTCCTTATTTATAATTATAAAGACAGTATTCCTACAATACAGTATCCATTTCTGCTAGCCATCTCGTTACCCCAAATGCACTCAAATTGCTCAGCTCTGGAGAAACATAGATATCCATCCAAATGGATACCAATCTTGTTACACCAAATGCACTCAAATTGCTCAACTCTGAGGATGCATAGATATCCATACAAATGGATACCCATTCTCGTTACACCAAATGCACTCAAATTGCTCAGCTCTGGAGAAACATAGATATCCATTCAAATGGATACCCATTCTCGTTACACCAAATGCACTCAAATTGCTCAACTCTGGAGAAACATAGATATCCATTTAAATGGATACCCATTCTCGTTACACCAAATGCACTCAAATTGCTCAACTCTGAGGATTCATTGATATCCATCCAAATGGTATTCTATCTGGGTATTCATCTCGATACCCAAGTTGTGGATATTATGACATCCCTCCGAGAGTGGCACAAGCTACTCCAACCCTAGTTGATCGTTACAGCAGTGTTTTATTGTGTCTAGCATTATAAAAAAATCATTTTTTTTCTAAAAGCGGCCAGTGCTAGGGCGCACATCCCCGGTGGTTGGGTTAAGCCCAACCATGCCATACCCTGGTTACACCACTAGTTGAAATGCCTCTAGATATAGATATCTTCTTTTTCTCATATAGGTGATAACTCGAAATCAATATTATATTTGAACTTTCCTAAAAGTTCGGCTCATGTTAAAAACGTGTTAAGAGTTACAATGGAATCTCAGGATTATTGACATATCGACAATCATATTTTTTTAAATAATTATTCACTACAGATTAAGTTTTTTATTTTTTTGCAATTGTTTCACAGAAAATTAGGTAGTTTTTTTCGTTTTTCGTAATTTAGTCTGAACAATCAATAATTAATTAATGGGTTTTTTTTGAAGATGAAAATTAATATTAATAGATCAGATAGAAATTATCTTTAACATATAATTCATCTTTTTATGGTATCAATGAAGTATTAGAATTAATACCAGATAAGATAAGATTTTTATTTATTTTTTTAAATCTTCAAGGATAATTTTGTCAAATAGTATGATGCTAATTTATAAAATAAAAAGTTTCTAAAAAAAATTTATGATATTGATTAATGTCTATTAGAGATTGACAAATTTTATTTAACATTTGGTGTTTTTAGTTTTGGGTGCACATAATTTTTGTGCTGCCACTTTGAGTGCTTCTAAATCAGATGTGGTTAACGTAGATGCATAACCATCGTGTAAAAGATTTGGTTCTGTAAATCTAACACCTTTCTTTTGAACATTATCGATGAAACAAGCAGCTTCAGGAAATGTTTTCCATGAACCTGTAGTCATACATAATTTATTGCATACTGTTGATCCTTTTGGACTTTGTAAATCAAAATGAATACCACGACCCAAAGCTAACGGCATTTGTGATGCAAGTACATATTCAGTTGGTGTTTTCAATTGTTTATATGAATCAGTAACATGTACTCGTACTTTACATCCTTTGGCCACAGCACCAACTGATTTCAAATAAGGTATAAACGATTTATTTGCCATAATTTTTTCACCGCTGAAATCTTTTCCACCTTTATATTCTGATATTTGACATTTTTCCTTGCGACTAAAAAGAAATCCATTGATACTTGTGATCAAGATTGATGTAGTTAAAATTGATATAATTACGATCAATTTGTACATTGTATAAACCACCAAGTAATATTGATAGGCGCAAAAAAAGATTGCTCGACTTGTCTGTCGATGGAAGTATATGCAGTTGAAATAATGTCTCTTTTTCTTAAACGGTTGCAATCGATAATAAATGCGGAAAAAGACGTTGGAGAAGACGGATATTTATTATAAAGAAAAAAAGAAGATACAAAATAAGCATTTCTTATTAGTGAAAGGTCGTCAACAACAAATAGTATCTACAGTACATGAAAGGATGTTGGATAATAAACAACTTGGAATCACGTATCCGCCACAAGACCAGAGAGATAAAATAATCTATAACATGAATATTTGTTCAATGGAAATTCATAAAAGGAAATATAACGATTATAATACGCGTATACAATATTCAATATGGCGAGTTTTATTTTAACGATACTTAGCCTTTAAAATAAAAGGGAGCCCGGAATTTCGGCCCAGTATGAAATGAAGATGAGGATGAGAATGACCTAGTTTTATGATAGAAAAAATTTCGTTTGAGGCCGAAAGTTCGGCCCGAAAATTGCTTGGGCCGAAATTCATGTAACCCAAATAAAAAACTTCTTCTATTTGCTCTGTTATGGAATACACTACAAGTTATTCATCGGAATAAATTATGGTACGTCGAAAAACGATAATGTCTGCCAAGAGATTATGTTCTTCTAGTATACAGATAATCTCTAAATTATATATATATATTTTTCTGATTACCGAATTTTATTTTTTAATATCAAAAGAATTTTTGTATTGATATTGACATAAAAAATATCGCATACATATTTTTATGCTATTATCCATTCTCGATAAAGATAAAAATTAAACTCCCTCTACCTATTTGACCACTGATTCATTTCATTATCACTTAAACTTAACTTGTATCTGAGAGACAAATAATATCTACTTAAACATACAATTCTTATTCTAGGAATAATAAATTTTAGTAAATGTGCAAAAAATATTTAAACTTAAAAAGAGCGGAATTCATTATGAAACAAGTTAAATTCAATTGTTTCAAAGTAAAGAGAATGATCCAATGATGATTTGTAGATGATTGGTAACTATTGAAAACTTGATATTGATACTATTTCAAATTTGAATATCAGTTGATTGATTTTGCGACTTTTTAAATGTCATAAGTACTTGGAAAAAATGATTGTATGTCTCTTATTAATGATATCAATATTATCTGAGAGAAAATACATTAGAACATTTCTTATATTGCCTGATGTACGCAGAAAGAAAAGCAAACTTCAGTAAGCACAGAACTATTTTTGGTAAATTTCTGTTATATTCCAGCAAAGAAAATACATAGATACTCCTTTTGAGATGAAGTTCGACACTATATCAATCATTATATTTCTTTTCTTTTTGTAGGTTATAAGTTTAACGCTTTGTCGTTCGATTTCCCACAGTCTTCACACGCATAGGCAGAACGCATATAGAATCAATTCTTATAAACAATTTTTCAAACTTTTTATGCACACCGTCCGATAAGATTCAAGCCCGTTCTATATTCACAAGAAATGAATGATTTCTGTTCTCTATTTAATAACTGCATTTGTCAATTATATTTTTTTATTATCTTTATGATTAATATTTCATGCAAATAAATTCAAAAAAACAAACAAACTACAAGGGTACAAAAAATATGAGATGAGTTTAAAATATGGCTACATATGTTGCACTTCCCTTCAAACTTTTATTGGTACTGTGATATGAAGAAATCCATCTCCTCTTAGTTCAGTTTTAAGTTTTTCTAGATCAGCTGTTGGCCATATTGTTACCTGTTTGTATTCTGGTCCGGCTAAAATAAAATATTGTTAGCATTACAACTAATATTATTCATAAATTTCACCTTTATTCTCGAAGTTAACACGTAAATCATGTCCACTAAGTGTAATATTCAAGTTTTCAGCTGTTGTGCCAGGTTTAGCTTGAAGACGCATATGAAGTATCTTTTTACCTGCTTCATTAGCATCCTCTAATGTCGGATTCCATGTTTTATTTTGAAGAAATTGATCAAGAGTGAACATCTTATAGATAGTAATGTATGATGAATTAGTATCTAGAATAAATCATCAGTTGTTTCTCAGCACCTCTTTGATATAGTATTTTATTTAGTAATATTAGAACTAATATATTTTATATTGCGTAATCGTAGATGGACTATTTTTCGTGATATACTGAAATATTGAAGTGAGGAATGCATGAGTTACATAAGATATTAGTTACCTTGGTGTGACTAATTTTAACGATGAAAAACCTTGCACTTGAAGAAATAAAATCAAAGTTTCTCTTTTTCGATCATAATCTTCATCTATCAAACTTGTAATTTATATTATGATGGGTTGAAAGTTAATATTAATTCGTAAAATCATAATCTTACACCTCAACAATTTCTATGGAATAAATATATAAACACAGTTGCCTTAACATGGTCATGTGAATGGAAATATAGTTTGACTATAAATGGTTGCTAGTAAAAATAATAGCAATATATATAACTAGATATTTATTCTGTTGGATCTACGTGAAACATTCTTTCTGTCATGCGTAGGTGTACACATATGTTATATACCATTTTTGCTTTAAAATAGAATTAAGAAAGAATGATGTTTGTTGGTCAGAGACACTGTTCTTTTTCTTTCTAATTCTTTTTGACGCCTACAGTTTCTATTTTCTGCTGGATATTCGATATATAGTTTAAAGTAGAAGACCCTATTCCACTGTTCGTCTGTATATAGATTGACACAATGTCATATGTTTCTAAAAAATGCATACAAGCTAATTTTACTTCTCCGTCACATGCATTATCAGACCATGATTGATGATAGTTTCTCATAGATATACAAAAAGGCAAGCCTTTACTTCAGTTAATTATTTTGTATGAAACAATGTATCAATTGTCTTAAACGATTATTAAATTTCTTGTTGTTGAATACAATAAGAGCAGGATTATATTATGGATAATCAGAGATTGACTAGTGAAATACTTACTCTCGAATATTTTTCTTTTATATATTTAATACTAAAAGCGAAAGATAAAAAATCTCACATTCCTTGAGGTATATTTTATGTTTTTTAAAGAGTAAAAAACCTTGAGTATCAGTGCTCTTAGGCTTCGTATTATCAACGATTTCTACTTATTTCAAATAGATAGAATTAAAATCTCGATAATAGTGGCAGTATTTTTCTCTTTGATGCAAAATAGCTACAGAATTTTAAGAAAATACTTTGAATGATAATAAAAAAATTAACAACATTTTTACATTCTATCTGATGGGATATATCACTTTAGTTGGTTGATATTTTAAAACTAAAATTATTGATCTTGATGAAAAGTGTCTCCTATTACATTATCAATATTTGTAGATTCTATCATCATTCTGACCCATCATTAGTTTTGATCATCTGTATATTCTATATATTTTTCATGGACATAGTGAAATATTGAACGTCTCTCGTTGTTTTAATGTTATTTATCAGTTGTTCGATATAAGTCTATTGTCATACACATCATTCTCAAGATTGAATATTGACTAGCTTTGCAGTAAATATTTTTCAAGTCTTTTAGTTAATAGAGCTATATTATAGAAAACCATAAATCATAAATATATATATATAGAGTGAATCCATGTAAACCCATCCACTTTTTGGAAAAGTTTTTTTTTCGATTTATTTTCAGTCGAAATTTCCGGTATGCTGTAGAAAACAGTTTTGATGAAAAAAAACTATGACCCTGCTAGCGAAAAATATCGAGTTCTGGTTGATTTTTTCGGAACGACTATGGTATATTGTCAGACAAAGAAGAAACGTCAGGAAAACACCTGAAACTTTCCTAAAATATATATTTTCAGAATTTTCTCATGCTGAACAATATGAAAGCTGTTTAGAAACACTTTAGATGAAAAAACATTAGACCATTCCTATTGAAAGTCTTGAGTTCTGAGTCATTTCTTCTGAAAATAACGATTGCTGTCGTTTGTCATGCTGAGTGACACTAATTTATTTGAAGGATTTTCATTAGACTAGTGATAAAGATAATGATGTTCAGGATGATATATCGCTGTTACAATAGATGACCTCAGGTGCTTGGTGACATCGAATTTACCCGAAACCATCAGCTTGAGACTGAAAGAATCTGACATAGTAGGAAACTAAGAGAATTTTCCGATGTGTTGACGTGCTGAATATCACTGTTACGTTTCATTCCACAAAATCTGATACATTGAAATCGGCATAAAATAGATGTGGAAATTTTGGATTTCATCCGAGAGTTATGTGCCATGTAAAGAGTACATGGGACATATGAGTCATTCCAGAATGTCTGAACACCAAAATTATCATGAAAAACTAGGCAATTTGATGTCTGGATGCAGTTTTTGTGCATTTTGAGACGTTTTTCAGGCGATGTTTCGTTAGAAAGCTATGATTTAGTTCAAAACTAATATCAGATTCCGAATCAGCGTTAAAAACTGCGTCGATTTATATATGTTGTGGATAATTCTGAGAAAAA